CATCCACATACATATATATGTATATATACAGTATATGCACAAGACAGGCACGATCCCAATTGTTGAACAAGCAACCCTACAGCTGCACTAGCTTTGTGAAGCGTATAGTAGCCTGGGAATTCTTAGGATGGGCAGGTTACCATGATGAACACAAGATACAATAGCAGCACAGATCCTTGGGCGCCCCTAGATTCAGAAGGCGCAGCAGCACAAGATCTATCTCCATAGGCGTCATGGCTGACCAGGGCCCCAAACGCTCGGGAATGGTCGAGTGGTCGCATCACAAGGCCTAGAACTAGAGGTCTTATAAGCATGTGCAGGAGCTATTCATTTCCGTGGAATCTCGATTGTTGATTTTCTTAACTTGTGATGATTATATGCTGGAGCGGCCTCACCAAACATCTTGAAAAATCTATGGTCATACGGGTCTACCACGTACATATGATATTAATACGGTTTATAGCACCAGATGTGTTGGCTTTTGGAAGGTATTGGAGCTCCCTTAGAACACATGCCCGAGGATGCTAGACATTTGCACTTGTCTCATAAATCTGGATGAGGTCCAAAACTCAGCTAAGGTAGGTGTTGTACATGAGGTCAAGAAATGATAACGTCAACAAAGCTACTGCTACAAAACGTATAGACAGAATGTAATCGATCAAGATTCCGTTCATAGATAGGGGCAGGTGCTTGAGGCAGCGCTAGAATGGAGAAGGCGCATCTTCTGCATGCATCAGGTTCCTCTAGTGAACCCCATAAAGCGTGTATATGGACACATCCTAGACCCTCCTTCTACCCACTATAAAAGGCATTATAAGTACCTACTATAGGGACCATATATCATATACCCCAATTTAAGGGTACAAGGGGGGTCCTGGATGATCGCAGGCCGGAATTTCTGAATATGTGAAAGTCCCAGAAGCTTATACGCGACAAGAGCTGCAAGAAGCCGAGAGAAACCCCCTGCTACCAAGCTCTAATAGTGGGTACATAGGCCAGCTTACGCACAGAAAAGTCTAGAGGGGCAAATGTTGGTTTCTCAAGTCCTACACAGCTTTAGAAAAGCACCCTTACGTAGAATGGGCACAGAATTGGGAGTGGAACAGGCCCGAAAGGGGGGCTAGGCTTGCCATGGGAATGGGAACATTAATAAAAACGCAAAGGGGTGAGCAGTTTGTAGAGGTCAGGTATATACACCATATGTTTAGGTGGGCTTATCAACGTGCACGTATACTGTTCTAGAGTTCTCAAATCTATAGAAGATCTAAACAAGGTCGGCGCACCCGGGTCACGGAGAAGGCCCCTGGCTGCCAGAAGACGCTGACCAGGCCGTAGCATGGCAAAGAGGAGACCTGCGACCCAGCAAACTGATGTGGTTTCAAGGGATATTACGGAAGAAAGCTCGCAAAGGCTAAGCTATAATTCAGGGTAGGACCAGGCTACTAGCAAAGATGACACGGCGCTGTCAGCACATGCTTGCAAAGTAAGTGCAAGCTTCAGGTGAAGCAGCGGACATGTTTTTCGAGTTGCTGCGGGCATCGCAGAGATTGCACTTGACGTAACTCGGCTGGCTGCTGATGGCATACAAGCTGACGCCCAAAATCACACATGTTGCTGGCGTATTCACTTTCAGAAGCCCATATATGCTACCCGCTACTCGAGTCAACTACTTACCCGTGCCTAGCAACATATGTGCTCCGTGGGTTGTTCACCCCTGCACACGTGCTGCATCATTGAGACTATGTGTGCGCGACCCTCTCACATCCCCACACCCTCAGCCGCAAACATCACGTAGAGCACCACTATTGGGTGATCAGCCAGCAAGGATTGCGCCCGATCATCATCTCATCGAATGTAGCCTCACCTAGGCTGTATATACTCAAGCTCCGCACATTCAGCCAAGCCTCACATGGGAGAAATCACATCTTGTGCAAACCATGCAGCTGAAGACCAGCAATAAACTTCTTAAACTGCCTCTTGGCGATGTCCGTGTAAAGCTCGGGATCCGCTTTGCTGAGATGAGGAAAGGCAAAGTTCCACCAATCCAACTGCAGGGTGGCTGAAGAAATGATTTATTCGGTCGTGTCTTATTCACGTTGAGCCCCTTTAATCTAGCCCTGCACCCAACACCAAATCCCACACACACACACACACATTCTTCATGTGCATTTCGGCATTCTCATGGCCCTTATCTTGCCCAAACAAACCTGAGGAATCGTGTGTGTGTTTTTGGACTTCCATGGGGGGGCTACGCAATACATGTTGAATCTGCGTGCACATAATACCGTGTCACGTCCATAATTCTTGAAGAGGATTTATAAGGAATGCTGTACTCTTAACAGTCCCGACCCCACCTCCAGGCTTGAAAGGGCCTTGCCGGACTGCGCAAGGTTTGCAACCTTGGACTGGAAAATGTCTCGCAGGACGCAGAACCTTGCCATAGCATTCGGAGAGCTCGGCGAGCGACGGCCAGCAAACGTCAGCCTGCCCTCGCTAGCGCCCCGTGGCTTGTCTTCTGCGTCTGCAGGCTTCTTGGGCTTGCTCACCTGGGCAGCCTTTCCAGGCTTCGCAGGCTTCACCGGCGAGTAGCGCACCGTCCTGGCGCCATCACCCTCATCCAGGCCTTCCTCAATCTCAATCTTCTTGCCGCGGCCGTGGCTGGGCTTGCGCGCAGTTGCCTTCTCACTGGCCCTGCCCGTGTTCCGCACAGGCATGGCCGGTGGCGACAGCGCCTCCTCATCCTCATCTTCACCCAAGCCTTCCTGAGCGGAAGCGTCATCCTTGGCCGCAGCAATGAGCTTGGCAGGGCTCTTGCCATCACTTTCCTCTTCCGATGTGTCCTTCGCAACCTTACCACGACCACGCCCACGTCCTCCACGGCCGCGCCCTCCTCGGCCGCGCCCTCCTCGGCCACGTGGCTTGGACTTGGCCTCAGCATCATCAGAAGACTCGTCTACCGCCTTGCCCCAGCCACGACCTCCACGACCACGCCTTCCCCGCGCTTCATTCACCTCCTGCTCGTCATTCTGCATTGCTGGCCGCGCCTTGGAACTGCGACCTCGAGTGTGTCCATCAGCGTCATCACAGCGGCGCTTTCGAGCATCCATGTCCTTCATGTCCTTCTGCTTTCTCTTCTCAAACCTTGCGCGTTGATCTGCTCTGGAAACCATAGCCTGCAACACACACGTATGGCTTATATGACCATGCTGCAACCCCTCCATTCTCAAAGAAAGATAATCCTGGCCTCGAGAGGGAAATTTTCCAGATGCATCTCATCAGCGCTAAAAGGCTTGGGTGGGGCCACCTGCTCTGAGACAGGCTTCTCGGACTTAGGAGTGGATTTGGGCTTCTCAAACTGCTGCTCTGGGCTGGGCTTCTCGGCCTTGTTAGGCTTGGGTGGGGCCACCTGCTCTGGGACAGGCTTCTCAGACTTAGGAGTGGATTTGGGCTTCTCGGACTGCTGCTCTGGGCTGGGCTTCTCGGACTTGTTAGGCTTGGGCGGGGCCACCTGCTCTAGGACAGGCTTCTCGGACTTAGGATTGGATTTGGGCTTCTTGGACTCCTGCTCTGGGGCGGGCTTCTCCGACTTGTCAAGCTTGGGTGGGGCCACATGCTCTAAGATGGGCTTCTCGAACTGGTTAGGCCTGGGAGAGTCTATGTGCTTTGCAGGAGTGGGCTCCTCGTGCTTTTGCTCCAGGGGCCTAAGCTTCTTGAAGGGCGGCGCTTCAAGCTTTCCATCATCCATTCTGGGTGGCAGAAAGGATTGGGATGATGTTGCGTGGGACGGGGAAGCTTGGCTCATGGCACGAATGCTCTTCTCCCAAGCACTCAGATCTTCTGCTTGCATGATTGCAGCAGCTGTGCCATCGCCATCGTAAGGCTGCGTATCATCAGAATCTCCTCCGTGGAAGGTTGCAGCGACATGAGTTAATGCGTCTAATAGACCACCCATTCTAATTCTGCAAGTCTATGGGCTCTACACATGCTCTACGGGCACCCGGCCTTCGACAGAACCCAAAAACCAAGTATCCCAAATATTAGCTATTAGAATCATCTGCCGTTAATGTTGATCCCCCAACTGCGAGGAAGCTAATCCGAAATGTACAGCCCCCGACCCGAAACTTTCACCTAATTATCATTCTAGGCTTTTAAACTCAACTTATGTAGTCGCACGACATAAGTTGGCCACATGTCTTCCCGGTTCTTGTACGCTCCCTCTACTACCACTACTGCAAGCACTATAGAGGGGCCCGTTTTTTGTTACTCACTAGAAGTTATTTGGCCACATTCTAATCTTCTTCATTTCTCGAAACTCAATGTGTTCTGAGCTGAATGTGGGGACAGGGCTTGTAGAGGGCTATGCGCAGTAATGTACGGTATGAACTGATTAAGGTTTGGAAGGGTACACATATGTAGGGTTCACATGGTTGACATGGTTTATGCGATTTATTGGCTTATACATTTTGAATGTTCATAAAGCTCGGAGCAGCTCGAAGTCCATATTACCTATGATTCGAGCCTATAGCCTATCGAGGCTTGTCTGGCAATCATAGCGAAAACCACCCCGGAGCTATATGGTATCATATGAGAGCTTCTCTCGCCCTACCTAGCTTTAAACACACAGGCCAGTAAGCAAGAGAAACGCATCGATCTGACAACGTTACTTGAAAGAGTAAACGCTTATATGAGCCCTCGACTGAAAAACGCACAAGACCAAATTAGAAGCGCCAAGCAAGTTGCCTGGAAAGGCTGTGATTACAGGCTCGGACAGCAAGCAGGGACACAATGGCCCACCTTTCGCCATGAGCTTCTGCCTACACAGGCATGTTGATTTCAGGTGGCCATATATATATATATCCTTAACTTAGACTTAAGCCTAGAAGCCTTATAAGTAGCCCATATTTGCCCATATAATACCCTAGAAATCCTAAGTATAGCTCATAAACCCTGCATAACCCTTATAAGGATGCCTGGATAAACGCTTTTCCAAGCCATCCTACCTGATTGCTTCCTTGCGGGTGGATAGGCGGAGCTTCATCTGCTGGAGGTCAAACATGCTCAACTTCCTGGGCTCGGGCAAGTTAAAGTCATGCTCCTTGCGAGACACTGCTGCTGCAGCCTCCAAAGAGGAAGCTCCATCAGCCATTGCAGGCTTTCCGCTTTTGCAAGAAGCGAGTGCTCCATCCTCAGCCTCATTGCCGGCAAGGGTGGAATCCTGAGGCCCCTTGCCTGCAAGGTTCGCTTCGTCATCTCCGGCCGCAACATCGATCTGCCCCTGATCAGGAAGGCCACTGTCCAAGTTGTCATCCACTGCTGCATCGGCCAAGCTGGCCCGTCCATCCTGAGCAACTGTCTCAGGAGCCTCTTCACCTGCCCCCGAGGCATACTCTGAGTCAGTCTCAGCATGAATCTTGGCAGCTTCCAACCCAGCTTCGGCCTCAACAACTGCATACGGGTCTCCGTCTGCACCATCCTCTATCGCAAGTCTTGGCCGATCCTCAATCGCAAGCATTGGCGCGCCAACGGCAGCAGCATCATCAGCATCAGCGTCCGTCCAGAACTGGTCCAAGATCTCGTAGAAACGCTCAAGTAGGGGCTCCTCAGAAAGTATGAATCTGAAGCACTGTGGCGCAACATCCCGAAAGATTTTTGAATCACAAGCCTTTAAAATATGAATTTGGAATAGCTGCGCTTGTCTGGGAGCGTGTCTTCATTCGTCTGATTCCATGAGAAAACAATCTCTTCAGACCACTTGCGTCCAGCTCTAGATTGGCCGCGTCCCGGGGTAAACCCATTTCATTCCGAAGGATTGTAACCTGAGCACTATACATGGATGATAAATGCTACACAAATTTTTGCAAGCCGGAGTCACGCATGAGAAGACGGAAAGTATGCCAAAAGGCCTCTCGTCTGCACAAGCTGATGGGAATGTACACCGGGCCATCGCTGCGAGGACACCACCATGTGGCGGTTTCTTCCAAAATCCGGGCATTCAAGCCCATGGATCGCACAGAGGGCACCCCTGTGCACTGGATGTCCGGCCATCGGGTCATGTGTCCAGCATCACGGAACCTCTCCCTGACGCTTTTGATCCCCTCTAAGATCTTCGCCAAAGACCCTCTCTCTGGCCATGACTCCTCACGATTCGGTTCCACATCCATCTCGGAGCTTCCACGTGAGGAAGATCTGGACATGCTTCCCCCAGACGCCATTAAAAGCCTGCTGCTGCGCAAGCACCCAGCTCCACACCGCCAAAATACACAGCTTGATCACAACCCAAAAGGCTGCGTAGGCTGAATTACAGGCTTGCCACTGTCAGCTCATATCAGAAAGGAAGAAGAATACTTGCGGAATGTCAGTTCAGAAAGCTCCAAGAAACTTCCCAAGCCCCTCCCCGGCCTGCTGAGGCAACTCTGGAAAGCCAACTACTCGCCATCCAATGTACCTGTGATGGCGCCGGAGAGGAATGAGTCGACAGGTACTACATGCCAGTATGCAAAAAATAGCACTACCGCGGCAGATATATCAGATCATCCTAGCTGGGTGGGCGCACCTCGAGCGCACATTCTGGAAGTAGACAAGACAGCACGAGCTGCAAGGACCATCAAGATTTGCTTCCATTTACGTTCTGTCTGAATTGAGCTTCTTCCTCAATATCTGGGTATGTGATTTCTTACATTTGACAAACCCCATGACCGATACAGACTGGATGTAGCAGTGGCTACTTGCTTTGTCATGGGTATGCATACCTATATAATCGTGAGAAGAGTATGAGGGAAACTACATGTAAAAGCATGCAGCGAGTATAGAGCCTGATAAAAAAAAGGTGTATCCTAGAAATAAAGTGAAGGCTACTAGTAATTTTGGAGGGTCACTGAGGCTCTATACTTTCTGCACACCTTCCCTGGAAGCTGCTTGAAGAGCGTCGTGAAAAGACGCTTGCACATGCCTGGCATCGAAGCGCTGAGGACTTATCTTACGGGTTACAAAAATACCCGGGAATGCTTATCTGACGGGTTACAAAAGTACCCCCTCCCCAAATGTACATCCCTATTAAGGATTCCCATATATCCCTATATAGTCCTTATCAGCCCCTTATGGAAGGGGGGACTTTTCGAGGGGGTTATTGCAATTCCTCATTATCCAAACAAGCTTGCTTGGACACTTCTGTGGTTCAACCCTGGCATGATCAATTGCCTACAACCCCTTGACAGCCTGCAGTTTCTCAAAATGTCAGGAAGTGTTCGCGAACCTTTTCTTCAGTTAAGACCTATGCAAAGACACTTTTGCTCAAAAAGACTTATATTTCAGGGGTGCAGGAATCTCCAGGTAGGATCAAGGGTAATGACGGCATGCTCCTTCAGTCAGATCATGGCGTGGTTCTTCAGAGTCCCGGAAAAGGGTCCTAGGACCTAAATATTAAGGCTTTAGATCCCAAATACCATTCATATCATAGAATTTTGGTACCTAAAGCCTCATTATTTGGGTTTGGACCCTCTGAGTCACACTGCAAGAAGGGCAGCGGCTCAGGTGTTGGGCTTATTTTGGGGTTTCGAGGTCTAGGGGTTCAGGCTGTTTGATTATAGGAAGCGTTGAGAACTCTGGGTTCTACGGCTTCTCGTTTCTTGCTGCAGACAGCCTTTCCCTAAGGGTCCAAGGTCCCAA